TTTTGGTCAAAGAAAAAATAAAACTCTACCTTTTTTTGTCGAAGATACCCAAATACCAAGGTTTTTATTTCTCCTATTCTCTTGCTCTATTTCTTGTCACCTCCCTTTCAAGCTTTATTGATTTCTCCCTCATAAAATTGTAGAGATTGCAATATATAGTATAGTGCAACGATGATTATCCACCTTCAGAACCAATGACTACAAAAAAAAAAAGGAAGTAGTTACCTGCAATTAGCAACTTTCGTCACTATTATCTATGGAATCAATAAAGACTTCAATGAATGGTAAACAAAAACAATAATAATGTACTAACATACTTATTACAACACGCATACCATCAAGAGAGATTGGTAGATCTTGTATTTTTTTACATAATTTTTTTTGCTTTACTAAATGAATAAAGAAAAGAATGAGAAGCTTGAAAACTTATTTGTGCCTTGAATCAATTGCTATCTAGCTATTCTTGGATATGCAAATCTTCTTTCTTGATTCAGGACCTATATTAACAAATTTTTTTTTAAAAAAAATAGATGTTAAAAATCTCATTATCTAAATTATTTATTCATTTATGATATTTTTCTATATCACGAGACAATGAGAGATTAAAGAAAAATCTAAATGACGTACTAAATCTCAATAGCAAAACTTACCAAAATTGTCGTCCTTGAATAAATAATTATAAATTAATATAAATATATGATAATATGAATTTAAAAATATGTATATTACCACATGTGATTGGTCATAAGTATAACATTTCTATTAAACATATCTATTTGCAATTAATCTTATTTTTTTTAACCATAATAGATGCTTATGAAGTGTCTCTAAAACTAAGAGCCTCCTTACAAAGTTTTACCAACATTTGTATAAAGCACCCCACATGAATTGTGACATTTTGTTGCTCTAAGGGATGCTTTTTAAAATACTAATAACTATTTTACAAATGTTTTATAGAAGGGTTAAAATACCAAAATATCCCCTAAATTATACAAAAAAAATTTAAAATTCTCTGAAGGTACTTTTTGTTTAAAGTTTTCTTTGAAGTTTAATAAAATTTCTTTTCTTTATTAAGTTTCTTTAACAATGTTTGGACTCGCTGGTGAAACACATGATATGGACAAATCACATCACATTATTTTTAAATTTGTTAATATAGCAGCCATGTCGACACCCACATGGAAGCTACATTAGATTTTTGTCCATGTCAACACCCGTAAAGCTTGATTGAGGAGCCACCAAGTTTTACTTTAAGAATTTAAGGATTTTCATAATTCCATAGATGAAAAACGATAACAATACAAAGCTCATCCTCCTCCACCTGTTGATTAATACAAAACGATGATGTCTTTGCACTATTTTTGGATCTTCTTCTTCATTACTTTCATTACTCTAATGCTCACTATCACTCTCTTTTCTACCATCATTAATCCTTTTTTTCCTTTGTCATCCATCTCCACTGTCTTTCTTTCTTCTCCCTCAACTTCCTTGGTTACACCGTCTTTGTCGATGAAAACAAGTACTTCGTCTCCAACTTAAAGAAAAACACTCT